CATATGGACTTTAAAAAAAAAAGTTAAAAAGTTTGGTAGATAGAATGGAAAGCTATGGCCCTTTTTTTTAGAAAATAAAACTAATATTCATACGAAACACGTGAAAGAAGAACAATGTTGATTGAAAAATTAAATACATAAAACCGAACAAATGTTTATACTTAAAAGATTCTAAACTTTTATTTTTTCGTACTAATTTTCCCTTTTCATTCATATTTCAAGTTAAAAAATATATAAATCAACTGTGTAAATATAGATAAGTTAAATTTCACAGAATAAGTGGTTACGCATAAACTAAAGAATCAATGTTATCGTAAGTTTGAATCAAACACTTTCACAGTTTCTAGACATTCAAACAAACACTGTACGTTTCAGATATTCTACAATGAAGAAAACGTAACAACGCTAGTGATTAGGGAGGTGTTTCCAGAAGACGCGGGTACGTTCACAGTCGTTGCTAAGAACCCAGCTGGATTCTCATCCTGTTCTGCAGAACTACTCGTTGTCGGTGAGTAAATTTGCTTCCTGTTTTGATTTTTTTTTCTCTTTTGGGTAAAACAGGCCCGGCATGGCCAGGTGGATAGGACACTCGACTCGCAATCTGCGGGTCGCGGGTTCGCATCCCCGTCCCACCAAACATGCTCGTCCCTTTCAGCCGTGGGGGCGTTATAATGTGACGGTCAATCCCACTATTCGTTGGTAAAAGAGTAGCCTAAGAGTTGGCGGTGGGTGGTGATGACTAGCTGCCTTTCCTCTAGTCTTACACTGCTAAATTAGGGACGGCTAGCGCAGATAGCCCTCGTGTAGCTTTGCGCGAAATTAAAAACAAACAAACAAACTTTTGGGTAATACATTTTTCTACATATCTGGAAATGGTTTCAAGTTAGATAATTGATATTTAAGAAAATGTGAGTTATATATATAATCGTAGAGTGATTTGGTAAAGAGCAGTGACATTGTGTAAATAATTATTTTTAACTCATTTTCTTTTCTCTTTTCGCTCAGCGTGTACTGAAAATCTGTTTGTTCATTAGACTTTATAGAACAATTCCTGATGTAAGATTTTTATTGAACAATTTAATTTTTCGTTTCACCGGAAAAGTAGAGTTATTTACAGGGAAGTTGAATTAACATCTTGTTGTTCACAAAAAAAAGATTTGTTCTTGAGCGAAGAAAAGTGAAAAATTAGCGAAAATATAATATATATATCAAAGTTAAGAGCTTTATTCTCGAACTGTTGCTATCATAGTTAAATATAACTTATTTTTATTCTTTGGTAGATTGTTTAGGCAGAGTTTTCATCATGAAACTTAGTTGAATGAACGGCAACTGCCTGTTGTAGAAACAGAACTATAGAGGACGACGTTTCGAAAGTCTTTCGCTTTTTTGTCTTCAGATCCAAGACGGAAGTTTTTCGAAACGTCGTCTTCTACACTTGTGTTTGTACAACAGGCAGTTGCCGTCCATTCAGTTAAGTTTCAACTTATTTGTATATGTTTTTCAGTGCTTGTTCTTACCAAATCTTAATATATATATACTGAAATGATACGTTTTGAGAAACAGTTATTTACAAGTAGTTCGTACGTCCAGAACTTTACTTTTCATAAGTAAAGCATTATTTATTTTCATAGCTCCGCTCTCGGATCACGGAACGGAAACGGCTCCAACTTCCCGTCGTAGTCTCTCTCGCGAATCATCGCTAACAGACCTTATAGAGGGCGTTTTACCAGTGTTTTCACAACCGCCAGAAGAAAAAACAGTGGAAGAGAGTGACACTGTCGACCTTACATGTAGCGTTACTGGAGTACCAGAACCTACGGTAAAAATGCGACTTTATTATTATTATTATTCAGTGAATAAATTATTAAAGTACGTAATATTGACATTAGTACGCCTAGTGGCGACTGACAACGATTTTTTAAATATTTGATTTGTATCTTACTTCATGCCCCCGCGCTTCAATGAACTAAGTGTCTGTGAAGGCAGAAGATGGAAGATGTTGATTTCTATGTGTAAAAATGCGATAATTAATAACTTTTTTTTTGGTATAACTGACTGATTAATTTATTGATACTATCTGTGGGATAACGTGAAACGCTTTCGAACTATTAATTCCCAGTTTTTTTTCCTGCCTTAAGTTATACTAATATCTTCAATGAATTTAGTTACGTTTTTGTTTAATTGCGGATTTTTACTTAATAAGCAACTTGATTGGCTAGTGTTCTGTGATATCTATTATAACGTTAAGTACTGTTTTTATTCTCGCTGATGACTTATATACGTTTACTGCCTGAATAATTATTCTGTTTTCAACAATTAAGAGAATTTTGATTTATTTCAAATTGTATTGTTTGTCACAAAACAAAGTAATCATTTAAAAGTATGGAAATTCCACGTGTGTTGGAAAGGAAGGTGTTAATACAGTTATTTTTTGCCAGTAGGTGTTCTTTGGTGAAATGTGTATTTCTATATAGTAGTAATATATAAATAATCGACTCTGCTGACTAGGTTACATGGTATCATAAAGAGACCGTAGTTGAAGAAACTGAACGCACAATCATCAAAATTATATCAGATGTTGATATGGTACACGTGAAAGTCACCATTAAAAACGTTACAAAGGAAGATTCTGGAACCTACAAAGTAATAGCGGAGAACACTGAAGGAAAGACAATTACCACTACAGCTCTGAACGTTAAAGGTTAGTTCCATTTTTCGCTAAAATAAAATAAAATATATATTTAGTGAATCCATCTAAATTACCGTATTACGTCTATACAAATTTTAGCCCAGTCTGGGCTTGTTTTTAGTTTACTAAATTCTAACAACAGTCAAGACCACTAAACGTGAATATAACATCTTCTTAATATTACAGAAAAGCCTCAGCCACCGAAAATAAAAAAGAAACCAAAATCCAAGAAGGTAAAGCCATCAGAAAAGGTGGAATTCCACGCAACAGTAACTGGAAAACCAAAGCCGACTGGTATGTTTTATATATATTTCCTGGTCATGATATTTCACCCTAGGAGCTCCTCTCTAATATGTTTACAAAACATGGGCTTCAGACTCAGGGCTTACATTATCCATTACTTCTAAGTTCTTGACAGTGTTATAGCTGAAATCTAAATTGTTGTTGATCATTCATAATATCAGTCCAAAAACTGAACCAAGCAATAAGATCACCTCATTTCTACAGGTAATATTTGTCACAATATGTGTGGTATTCTTTATTACATATAGAGTTTGTTTACAAACAAGCACCAATTATCACAACCTAGTCATTTTAAATGTTTATTGTTAAATCTTCTTAAGTTATTGATATTTTCCCAGCACTTTCTTCCTCAATAAATTGTTGCTTTTTTTCTCGTAAAATAATGCAGTATAGATTGGTTTTCACTTGCTTTGGCCTTTTAGTGTGTTTTTATCCTTCTTTAATCACGCGAAAAGAAATATTTCAGCAGGTTTAAAAACTGTGTATAAATATTAGAACTATATCTATCTGACCTTTATTGTTGCTGTATAACAACGCTTATATTTTGATAACTAGAGATTTACACTTTTATTATTGATACGTTCTTTCGCTCATTCAAAACAAAGAAAAAGCTGTTATAATTTCCTATTCTCATTTTTCGGAGTATTTTAGAAATTTTGTAAATAAATGACTTTTATCTCTAACTGAAAACAGTTTCACTTCAGACCGTTCATTTGTACAAAAATTATAGTTTCCAGACGATTCTGTTTTACAAAGGTTATAGTTTCCGGATGTTTCTATTTTACAAAGGTTATAGTTTTCGGACGTTTCTGTTTTAGAAAGGTTATAGTTTTCAGAAGGTTTAATTTTACAAAGAGAATAGCTTCCCCACAATTTAATTTTACAAAAGTTATACTTTCCAGATGGTTTTGTTTTACAAAGGTTATAGTTTCCAGATGGTTTTGTTTTACAAAGGTTATAGTTTCCGGACGTTTCTGTTTTATAAAGGTTGTAGTTTTCAGAAGGTTCAATTTTACAAAGGTTATAACTTCCAGACAATTTAATTTTACAAAGTTATAGTTTACAGGCAGTTCTGTTTTATAAAGGTTATAGTTTCCGGACGGTCCTGTTTTATAAAGGTTATAGTTTTCAGAAAATTCAGTTTTAGAAAAGTTATAGCTTCCAGACAATTTAATTTCACCAAGGTTATAGCTTCCAAGCAGTTCAATTTTGCAAATATTATTAGTTCTGGGTAGTTCAGTTTACCAAGATTATAGCTTCCAGACAGTTCAGTTTTACAAAGTTTTTAATTCCAGACGATTCAGTTTTAAAATGTAATATCTTCCAGATGGTTCAATTTTACAAAGGTTATCACTTCTGGAAAGTCCAGTTTTATAAAGGTTATAGCTTTCGGCTGTAATAAATTCTCCAGATTGGATTGCTTCACTAGGGTTAAATGTAGAAACTTTCAAAAATTCCTGCTCTCTAAGATTGATTCAATGAATACTCACAATTGCACGTGAGCGAAATACACTACTTTGAAATATCCCAGCAGGACACGTTAGAATCGTGTGCTTATATTTCAACAAGTCACGTTTTAAAGCAGTATATTGACATGGTGCTATATTACTGTATCGTTTAATTCTAGTCAAATGGTACATCAACGAGACAGAGGTCAAGCCTGATGATAGACGCCAGATAACTGTTGAAAACAACAGTTATACCTTAACAATAGACCCTGTGGAACCCTCTGACGCAGGTCCAGTAATAGTTAAAGCTACAAACCCTGCTGGAGACGATACAGCAACTACAGAACTCACAGTTGAAGGTAAGTTTAGATCGAATTTTCACCTATATTTTAGAAAATCTAATTTACGTTCAAAATTAAACACGAAAGATATTCCAAACTTAATTACATTAGATTGGTTTGGTAAAGAATTTGAATTAATCAGTAAACAGTATATTTATATCACTGTTGTGTGAACAGTCGAAATTTAGAAATCCGAAAACTTGACTTAGAATTATAAGGGGAAAAATGTTGATTACGAAGTTTTTTTTCTGCATATTTAGAACCTCCTAAAGATGAACCTCCTACATTCACACAGACTTTCAGTGATGTGGTAAGTCTTTGTTTCTTTTACTATCACAATTTTTTGGCATCTTAATAATTTCATAAAAGATGACACAATAACGTTGGAGCTTACTTTATTTTTTTTTATTTTGGATATCTAAGATGTGCAAAGTAAGCAGGCTATTTTGTATGTCCACTGAAGCGATACTTGTCAATTATTCCTTATTTGTTGAGTTGCTCAGTCTCCATTATTACATTCCTCCTGTTAATATCTAGTAATTTTAGACCTGAAGACGTTCACGAACTTACAGTGGTTTCCTATAACTCATCATGCATCCTTCTAGTAAATCAAAGAATCAAAAATAATGAAAAGCCCGTAGTATATTTTCTGTACTCTGCTGGTAATCCTTAGAACTAAAGATCCCCATTCTTCGTTCATTACCGGTAATTCTTAGATTTGAAAGTCATAAAGATCGTTTCTAGTTGTCGTGCTATTTTCTCAATGCCTTGTTCATAATTGTACTTTAATGTCATGGAGATTAACAGGATTTGCTGATATATTACGATTAACGTGATGTACTGATATCTTACCTGTAGCTCAGTGATTAGAAAATCATAAATATCGTTTCTAGTTATCGTGTTATTTTCCCAGTGCCCTGCTTGTAATTCTACTTTAAAATTATAAAGATTAGCATGATGCTCTGATACATTACCTATATTTGTTATAATTGATTAAATAAAACTTATAAATGGGTGTCTTTCCGCCTTTCTTGATCCTGACAGTAAAGGATTCTTAAGTAGTTTTATTTAACGCTTTTGAAGTAGATCTATTCCAATACTCATCATAAACAAATTGTTTTTATACTTCATTTTCAGGTTAAAGCACTTTTCAAAAATTATAAATGCTTTTTTTTTGTGAAGCAATTTCATGAAGACTTTCTTCATTTCGTCTAAGTTGTGTAATGTATTTCATGAAACACACGTGTATTTTACAGATATACGTAAAATGCTTTTTGCATTTACACTAAATTCTCGTGGGATTATCATCTTAAAATGCCTAATTCTCTTACGTTGTTTTTGTGCAGATTGTTACTGAAAAAGACACTGTCAAATTGACAGCCAAGGTAACAGGAAAACCACCACCGGAAGTGACGTGGTACAAGTAAGGAAATGTTTTAATTATTTATTTTGGTGGTGTAAAAAAATTATAATGAAGCAATTCTTATGAAAAAATTTAATGAAGTATTTAAAAATGTAAAATTAAAAAATAAATTTAGAATTTCTGTTATAAAGTGTATTATAAAAAAATTAAAAGCTGGAAAAAATAATATTTATCACTGAAGATTTAAAACGAACGTTTGTGCTTAAAAAAAAAAGATAAAACATGTTAGTTGGTATAGCTTGCATTTAACATAACTTTCCCTTTTACGTGAAATATTTTCTTCAGACTTGAATTTTGCTTTTACTAGACAAATTTTATGTGCTTTTAAATGGGAAGATTATGTTAATTCTCTATGATCTATAGGGTACATTTATATGTATATTTTAATTGACAGGAATGGAAAGAAACTGAAACCTACCAAGCACATCAAACAAACGTACGAGAATGACGTCTGTACTTTGGAGATTCCTGAGAGTTCTCCCCAGAAGGACACTGGTGAATATAAATGTGTCGCGACCAATCCAGTGGGTGAAACTGAGCACGTAGCAAAGGTCATTGTTCAGAGTAAGTCGATTCACAAGTAGTCTACTGACTTTGTTGACAGATGTTTGATTAATATTTCCCTTTTTCATATTTCAAAAGAAGTCATATAATAAAATAACACTTCCAAATTGCTAAATGCACAGCTCGAATATATTATGAATGTAGAGTTTTCGTGTATTGTCTGTTGTAGTTCTAAGAAAACAATAACCACGGTAAAAGGAGAATGGCTCTATACCCTGTTTAATTTTGTAAAATACATAAATAGGAATCTACCTCAGAAAATCTCAATTGAAATTTCTAACTTGGATTTGGCTCGGTATGGCCAGGTGGATAAGGCGCTCGACTCGCAATCTGAGGTTCGCGGGTTCGAATCCCCGTCCCACCAAACATGCTCGCCCTTTCAGCCGTGGGGGCGTTATTATGTGACGGTCAATCCCACTATTCGTTGGTAAAAGAGTAGCCCAAGAGTTGGCGGTGGGTGGTGATGACTAGCTGCCTTCCCTCTAGTCTTACACTACTAAATTAGGGACGGCTAGCGCATATAGCCCTCGTGTAGCTTTGCGCGAAATTCAAAAAACAAACAAACAAAACTAACTTGGATTCACACATCTGGTGATAAAATGAGCCAAATAAAACACATCTATATGAATTTGTTTTACATATTAGGGAAAAAATGACTATTTATTATTTTACCTTTTTCTTTTTTTTGTCAGAAGCCGACGTTGAATTTTTGGAGCCAATACAGGATGTTGAGGTTAAAGAAAGGGATGTGGCGTTATTTGTTACAAAAGTATCCCAGGAAGACGCAGAAGTCACGTGGCACAAAGATGGCGAACAGGTCATCGAAGGAGATAAATACACATTCATAAAGGAAGACAAGTTCAGAAAACTGGTGATTAATGATGCCCAGGTGAAAGATGAGGGAGAATATACTTGTTTACTGGGAGACAAGGAATGCACAGCGGATCTTGTTGTTGTCGGTGAGTGACGACCTGGATTAGTTGCTGTTTATTAAAAAATTACTCTTTACAAATTACAAATGCTTGATATAACGTGTTCAGTGTTGAAAATAAAACAATTATACCACATTTGAATCATATCCTTTAGTATAAAACCCAGCTCCATCTGTTTACATTTCCGTGAATGTACAATATTATAAATAAAACACTTTATAAATAACCCAGCGCCATCTGTTTTACATTTCCGTGAGTGTACAATATTATAAATAAAACACTTATAAATAACCCAGCGTCCATCTGTTTACATTTCCGTGAGTGTACAATATTATAAATAAAACACTTGATAAAGCGATTGTACAGTTTGTAATAATTCCAGAACTCCAACTGTTAAAATCCAAATGTAGCTACATTTAAAAAGAATCATTTTGTTTATTTTTCTAATCCATATTCTTGAAGAAGATAAAGTTCAAAGAAATTTACTTTCTGAATTCGTTACTATAGAGCTAATTACTTGCAAGCAGTGCAGCATACCCAATAACAAAAACAACAAAGAACAACTCAAATAATTATTACTAAAGATTGAATGTTGAATTCTATTGCATTCTTTCTGATGAAACATCCCTGAATAAAATATATAAAGATTATTACTATATAAAAGAAGATTGGTGGAAAGGTTTTACCAGTAAATTTCAAAATTACTCTTAATTTACCAGTTTATTTTCGGTTTTATTTTAGAACTTCCTCCAGAGATTAAGACAGAGATGGTCGATGTAACAGTGACCAAAAACGAAGCTGCTATTTTCCAGGTGGAGTTGACTAAAGGTGATGCTTTAGTCAAGTGGTACAAGGATGGTATGTGTTTCAAGTTACTATGTTTCCAGAATTATTCTGTACTAGTTAAAACATTATTAAAACCAAACTCTCAGATAAAGAATCATATATATTTGGCATTAAGTTTGAGTTTATTTCAAAGGAAATTACCCATAATCGGTTCTTAAGAGGAACCTGTCTACAAGAGTATGTTCAACAGAATGTTTTTTTTTTTATGCTTTAATTACATCAATAAGATGTTCGGCTGCAATATGCTTTGATTATAGCCAGTAGCGTCTGGAAAGTGGCTGCTTCAATCTTTGACCACTCCTTAATCAATATCGTCTCAAAACCGAGTAGAATTGAGGGTATTGGACTCCTGATAGCTTGTTTTAAAACGTCCTATACATTCTTGACGTGATTGATATGAGGGGACTGTGCAGGCCAAGGTAGATGTTGAAAGTTTGCATCAAGTTCAGTGAACCAAACAAGTGATTTTTATTTCTTTTACTGATAGCATTTGCATTCTGGAAGTAACCATTTCCTTGTGGATAAAGGTAGAGCATATCGTGATGCACCTAGTCAGCTAGGTGGTCAAATATTCACGAGATATGACCATCCAGAGGCACCAGGAGTCCTAGGTAACAATGCCATGTAAAGGAGGCTCATAATATTATATAGCCTACAGAACCTTGTGCAGTGGAGGCCATGCAGGATGGGTCCACAACTCTAAACCTACACCACTGAAGAACAATGTGAAAAGTTATTGACCTGATTAGATCACACATTCTAATTGGGCAATGGCCCAATCTTAATAATGTAGACACCACTGAAAACCTTTTTTTTTGCCCTGTTACTGGCAGAGACGAGTGGTTTACGTGATGGAGCACGATTACCAAAGTTAACTTCACGCAGCTCCATTCGCACTGATCTGATGGAAATAGATGTTCCTGCACCATTCTTAAAGTTATCCATTAATTCACGAAACTTATGCGTCTCTTAGCCCGAAGAATATTCTATTTTTGCTTCCTATCCTATCCGATCTGAGTTTTCCTGTTAAATAAAGTTTTTGATATGGGCTTTGCTTTGCCAATCAGCTCGACTGTCATCATAATGGAAGCATCCGCCAATCGAGCCCCAACAGTAACACCTCGTTGAAAACTCGATAAATATTTCTTCTTTTCCATTGTAGCGACAGTTAGTGCTGATACAATTTATCATCTGTATTTAAAGACCTCTGGTGATTTAACATCTCTAACTCTTTACACACAAACTGAGGATCAGTCTATTTTAGAGGTTTCTAGTATTTTACTCTGTGGGGATACATAATAGTTACATTGAGTTGCTTTTTACGCTTTAACTATACAGTATTTATCAATAATGCTCTTAAATATACTTCACTTAACTCTTCAGGGAAAGAAATCCAGTTTAGTGAGCACGTGCAACTGAAGATTGATGGCAAGAAACAAAAGTTGCTGATCTACAACACCACATTCGAGGATGCTGGCACTTACACCTGTGTTGTGGGTAACAAGAAATGTTCAGCAACGTTGAATGTGGAAGGTAAGCTATTGAAAAAAGGTTAAACAAAACATATTTTGTTATCAAAAATAGAATAATCGTGTTTACGTTTTATTATGTTTGTGGAGTATGTGTGTGTGATATATTCATTATTTAATTTCTGTGGTGCATATTGGTGTATAGAAGACATATTAATACTAGAAATAAACGCCCTTATAACACCAAAATGTTGTTTTTATTTGATTAGGCATTCAATGCTTAAAGCTGTGTACTGTCAGTTTCGGTTTGTGTTTTAGTCAACGATCCTGAAGAAATTGTAAAGCGAAACGTTGAGTGTCTAATTAAATAACAACAACATTTTAGTGTTATAAGGTCGTTTATTTCTAGTATTAATATATGTGACATAGCTCATTTTTATGTCAGTTGTTTAAAAAAACATATTTTTGCTGTGCTCCTAATATATAGCAGACCAGAAAGGCAGAATCATTGATGAAGTGAGCTCTTTACATCCAGATTAAAAGCATGTACTGCTGTTTCAGATTGGATCAACAAAGTTATCTCACTTGTCTGTCTTTCTGAAAAAACTTCTTGAGAGATGATTCTCCTGAAAACTATATTATATTACTTTGTTCGTTAATTTTTCGTTATTGTGTATGTTTATTCTTTTAATTTATCCCGGTCCCACCAAACATGCTCGCCCTTTCAGCCGTGGGGGCGTTATAATGTTACAGTCAATCCCACTATTGGGTGGGTGGTGATGACTAGCTGACTTCCCTCTAGTCTTACACTGCTAAATTAGGGACGGCTAGAGCAGATAGCCCTCGTGTAGCTTTGCGCGAAATTCAAAACAAACAAAATTTTTAATTAATATTTATTTTATTTCTGAACTTCTTTTTTTTTAAAGCTATTAAAATTCATAGTTTGTGTTGATTATTTTAGTTGTAAAATTTCATGTTAGTTTTTCTCTAACTCTAAGTTCATTATATGCTTTAGCAAAATGTTATTATTCTCCTCCCTCAGAGGCTAAAGTAAAAAATTAGAGCTGAGACGGGGACCCAGTGCCCACACGCCCATCGCTCCCAGATCCAGAGTTCAATCTTACTCGGGGAAAACCAGTTTCCACACATAATCGTATGCTTCTCATTGTTTTCCTCCAGAAACTCCAAGTTATCCTATAATATTGTTCAAGCTCCCCTTAACCTCTTGTTCCATGTAGGAGGGGGGTCTTCTTAGTGACTGTCTTAGCTGGAGTGGGGAGACTGGACCTCTCTGGACCCACCCTCACTGTGAAACGAAAACTTTTTACATCAGTGTATAAACTACAATTGAACTACGTCATCTAGTAAACGTTTAATCAAAACATTAAACTTAGGCGTAAACGGGTTTGTACCGTGATGCCTTGTATAATATTGAATTATTTTGACAAAACTTGCTAAATGTTCTACTCTTTCTTTGTAGCTCCCTATGTGGAATTCACTGCTAAACTGCCAGAAAAGACTTCTGTTCCTCAGGACACCGACGCTACTTTCACGGTGCAGCTGTCTCAACCTGATGCTGACGTTCAGTGGCTGAAGAACGGAAAACCGGTCCAAGCGGATGCAAAGTTCCAGCTTATTAAGGATCAGAACGTTCGGAAACTAGTTGTGAGGGGTGTTTCAAAGGATGATTCCGCTGAGTATACCTGTGTAGCTGGCAACGTCAAGACATCCACGAAATTACACGTGGAAGGTACGGATAAAGCACACTGTGAGGCTGTTTGTTGTTAATATAGAGGGTATACCAAAATTATTTATCCGAAAATAAAACACCACAAAATAAATAAGAATGAATCCCAAGGCGCCAAAACTTTGCATAGTTTTAATTCTTTAGATACAATTACGCGCTGTTCTATTGATCCTTTGTGTTTTATGACGTTCTATTTCCGAATGAGTAATTTTCGAACACATTTGATAAGTTAAACTTAAGTTTATTGATATAGAATAGTTATGTCACCTTAGTTTGAAACTAAGTTTCATTTTATAATGAGAAAAAATATAAAAAATTATTCGTTGGAGTACGCTGTTTTAACTGACTTATAAACTAGAGATTAATAACAGTCAGTAAGAGATAATTAGTGCATTAAATAATATAAAAATTTTCTATTTGCTTTAAGCTTGGTTTATTGTTGTTTAGTACCCGACTTCTTTGAAGCATCAAAATTTTAGAAACTTCATATATTCTGTAAATACGTATTTTTAACCTCAAAGTTTCTAGTTTTTTTAAGCAGGGTCTTTTTTTTATGAATAACTATCATTGGTTAAAAAACAACAAGAAACACTAGCAAAATCAAGAATGAAAACAAATAACTGAATCATAGTGACCGCGTGGAGGTGAATAAGCCTAATAAAAATGCACAATGTTTGTTTGTTGAAATTAAACAGTTGTTACTGACTGACAAACAAATTCTGTTGTTTCAAATAAAAAGAAGAAATTATGAAAGCTTTTAGACCAAAAATGATTATAAATAGTTATATTTTTTCAACTGAAACATTGGAACGAATCTCATAATGTAAATAGGTTCTAACTATCGAGTGAAGGATACAACTTAGGCCCAACATTAGCATAGTAAGTTATTATACATCAGAGCTACCATTTACAGGTATAGGCTTGTGGCTAGGGCGCTTGAATCTTAATCTGCGGTTCGCGGGATCAAATGCCATCACTGAATATATTCGCCCTTTCAGCCATGGGGGCGCTATAAGGTGACGGTCAATCTTTATATTCGATCAGAATAGCCAAAGAGCTGGTGCCTTTTCTCTAGTCTATCACTTCAAAATTAGGTACGGCTAAAACAGATAGCACTCGAGTTGCTTTTCCTCGAAATTCAACAAACAAACAGATCAAACTTGTGATAAATGTGTTTAACATTTTGATAAAAACTTCCCAAAAGAAAACTAATTTATTCTTGAGAATACCAGAAAGTAAAATAAAAGTTTGTAGTAAATCTCTTTTTTTTGGGGGGGGGGGGCGATCGTGGCCAAGTGGTTAGAGTGCCGAACTATGTATCTGCGGTTAAGTAAGCCAGTCTTCATAATAATTCTGAACATTTAGGCTTAGTCAAAATTTCAAGAAGTGTTAACCAAGTAATTTCCTTAAATTTCTTGATATATTTTTCCTGTTGCAAGGCATTTAGCGTCAAAACAATTAGTCCTTGAAGACCCGTTTTAAAGTCAAATATTCTAGTACCAACTACGCCATCTGTATAATATCTTAGTATAATAACATATCTAACCATGTCAACTTAAAAAAAAAGTAATTAATCTTGAACCACAATAATAACAGTTCATTGTAATAGAAGGAAGAGGGTGATTGTTTTGCGTTTTTACAATGGATACAATTGACATAAAGTCATGAGTGTTACTAAATCCCATAATAATTGCTTAGGTGGGTGTTTTATTATCAAGTCAGTAAGAAGGCGTAAAACACGATTATAATGATCATTATTGACTTCGTTAGTCAGATCTGAACAGAATTAACACAGTATGTAACTCATTTATCAACTAGTTATTCGTTGGTTAGTAACTTTTAACACACTCTGTGTTTGTGAAGTGTTTAAGCTAGTCTCTAGTTGCAACAATTTGGCTTTAACACATTCCATACTTGTTGAGATTTGTAGGTTAGACTCTAGCTGCAACAACTAGACTTTTAGCACACCTCGTACTTGTGAGATTTGTAGGTTAGACTCTAACTGCAACAACTAGACTTGTGAGATTTGTAGCTTAGACTCTAGCTGCAACAACTAGACTTTTAGCACACCT